CTCTTCACCTAATGCCCTAAAGCCAACTGGTTTGGGAGTCATTGACAAAAAGCTCGTTACATGGGTAACTTAGAAAGCCTAAGGAAACTCGACCTATGAAGGAAAAAAAAAAAAAGAAAAAGAAAAAATAATAATAAGTGCTAAGGTGTGAAGGTCTAAACTCGACCTATGAAGGAAAAAAAAAAAAGAAAAAGAAAAAATAATAATAAGTGCTAAGGTGTGAAGGTCTAAACTTGAGACTTCTTACTAGAAATTTCCACACACACACTAAGTGCTCATGGGCTAAATCTTTTAACAAGTGGTGTGAAGAATAAGATGGAGTATTTTACTTTAAGTGAGCATATGAGGATTTTTGAATATTTGAGACTTTGCCTCTAATTGAACTTTAATTCCTAAATTTTCTTTGCATGCATATCATGTAGTTACATTCTTGCATTGGGATTTTGTGGGTAGATCCACTGCAAACCCTCATGAGACACAACTCGTCTACTAGGGTGACCTAGGGCTTTAAAGGCTTGTTGCACATGTTAAGTGCAATCGTGATTCCTACGAAAGTGAGTTAAGTTTTATTTTTGTTTCTTTTATCTTTTTATTTTACTCGAGGACGAGTAAAACTTAAGTTTGAGGGAATTTGATGAGCTAAATTTATATACATATTAATAGGAAATTTTTACTTTGATATTATTCATATTTTGATGAGTTTTATGGGATTTTGTTTGATTTTACATGGTTTCCATTCTTTGTGTAGGAAATGATTTAATTGAAAGAAATCATATTTTTTAGAAGTAAATTGAAGAGATTAGAGACTTGAGGATCAACTTGTGTAAAATCCAGAAGTCAGGAACCAATTCTGTCATTTTACCATTGAAGAAATTGCAAAGAGGCCAAAAACCCGACACGGGTGTAGTGTCGACACATGATCGGGGTGTCGACACCATGCGCTAAACGTCCAGAATTAGATTCTGTTTCTTATTTTGTGTCAACACGTAATCCGAAGTGTCAGCACCACGCGATCAGCATCTAAAATTCAGTTTCTTATTTCTATTCCAAGTCCTACTCCTATTTCAATTAGGGTTTCTAAAATCCTATAAATACCCATCCAAATTCAGAATTAGAGAGCTTTGGGAGGCTGGTGGCAGCCCTCTTTTGGGGCACTCTTAGATGTCAAGATAGAAGATCTATCAAGAAGAAGATCAAGGATTTCAATTACTTCAAATTAGGTTTTGTTTTTCCTTAGACATGCTTATGTTCATAACTGTTATTTCAGATTTTATTATTTTTATTATGAACTGATTTATTCTACTAGGGTTACGATGTAGCCTAATCAATTCAATATAGATTTTGTGATTTTATGTTTTCAATTAAAGTTATTCGCATGAGGAGTTTATATTATTGAACTTAATGCATTGGAAGTCTGATCACCTTTCAATTGATTTAGTGATTTATGCATGAACTTGAGAAAGAATTGCGTAGATTAGACCAATAATAATATAAAC